TCTCCCGGTGCCGTGCCAGTTTTGCCGTAATACTTCGACGGGCCATAACTTCTTTGTTATAACTCGGATTTTGGCATTCTTTATATGTACAGAACCCTTGTAACATATACTACAACTTGGTTAAGATTAATCCTTCTAAATAATCTTCCATCAAAAACTCATTTTTGATGTTCGTCATCTCTAAATTGACTAGCCCGGATCTGCGGGCGTTACAGGAACCGACATCTGCCCTTCGGCCCTATAAAAGGGGGTGCGAGGCCAGCCGATTTCCTCACTCATTTACACCTTTCTTTCTCTCTCTACACTCTCTCTAACCACCCTTAACCACCCGAATCCTAGGGAGCCTCCCTAGCACTAAAAGAAAACCCCGATGTCCCCGAAGGCTCCAAGAAAAAGAGTTTTTCGGTTTGGAAACTCTTCCCCTGTAGAGCCCGATTTTCAAGCAAACCTCCCAGTTTCGTCAAAGAAGATCATTTTAAGAAGCGAAGTGTTGTCCGAATCATCACCTTATCACGTGAGTGTATAGTCATTTTCATCTTACACGTAGATGTGAAGTATTTTATATAAATTACGTGCTATGTGTATATATATTATCTGTTTACTTGAGATCTATGCTGGATGAAAGATCTAAACCTCTTTCTTTTCAGATATGAACTTTTTCTTTCATATCTAAATTTTGTCTTCCAGATTTGAACCTTTTCCTTCAGATATAGACTTTCTCACTTCAGACCTAAACTTTTCAGATCTAAACTATATATATTATATATATATATATATATATATATATATATATATATATATATATATATTATACTTGAGATCTATGATGGATGAAAGATTTAAACTTCGTTTTCATATCTGAATTGTATATGTATTTTATATCTATAAATATGTTGGGTAAAACACGGGTAGATGAAATAGTTGGTGTGTGATGAAATAAAATGACGAGAGGCCTCGGTGTTGACGATGATGCAGTCATCTAGCGAAGTATGGATGATGACCATAGACTTTTCTAGGAATTCCAGTGGAACGCTAGCAGGCTGGCAACCTGTAGGTGTTTGTGAACGATGTGTTCACCGGTGTACTCCATCCCCCTCATGGTTGCCTTACGGACACTTATGGCCGAGTAATCCCCTCAGTAGTAGTGTCTACCCCGAAGATGATCCTTAGGCTAGGTCCATTTTATTAGATGCTTTAGGGACGTAAAGTGAGGATAACATGAACGGGTAATCGGGTTGGTTTGGTTTGATGAAATTAATAAACTTATTTATTGTAGGGCCTATGTTGTTTTTAGGCCAATTTTGTTCTGTGGCCTAGGATGTTTTTGGTTTATGCTTTTGATATGTATCGATGTTGACATCCTGAGTTTTGTAATACAATGAAAATACATTTCTTTAAGGAAATGCTTTGATAAATCTTTATCATATTTTGTTTTAGGAACAAATTCCGCAAAACGTTTCTTTGAAAGATTACTTTGATTTTATTATAAAAACATAAACGAAATCAGTTTTTTCTGGCCGTGAAATCAGGGATGTCACAAATAACTACCCACCTTGATTGTCTTAACGAAAGGAGTTTCCAAAAATTACAAGATAACTACCCACCTTGATTGTCTTAACAAAAGGAGTTTCCAAAAATTACAATATGACCCCTTGACTTTTATATTTCATTTATTATTATTATTATTATTATTATTATTATTGTTATTATCAAAGTTTATGAAATACCTCATTTTTATTTATTTACCATTTATTTCCCTCCTTTATAATTATTAATCCACCTAAAATAAGAATTTTAACATTTCTTTACTCTTTTGAACATTTATTTATCTCACTTATTTTTCTAATTGTATAATTATTGTTTTTACTTGCTAAACCTTTTAAGAAAATAATAAAACGGAAAACAGGGTGTTACATTAGATAACTTTTAGATTTGAAACATTTTGTTTAAATTAAATGCTAAAAGTTTGTTGTGTCAAACAAATTTTTTTGTTTAAAACAGAACATTTTGTCAAACATTAAAAGTTAGAAGTTCTAAAACGCTCGGTACCAAACACATCTAAATCAAACTTAGGATATGATTTTCAAGCATGCTTGAGTTTTTGCAAACAAAAACTAATATTTCTCTCTTTTAGGTATTTCCTAATTAAATGGAGGTATAACTGTATTTTACTTTTTTTTTTTTTTTTTGAAAGAATCAAAAGCTTCCTTGAAACAATCTCTCCCATTCGAAATAAAGTCACTAAGAATCAAAAGCTTCCTACGTAATAAAAGACATATTAGCCATTTTACCACGTATCACTTCATTAGCTATTAATCTTTTTAGCTTTTAAGGCAACCAATTCGTGCACTATGGTCAAACATTTTAAAATACATATTTATCTCCTAAATATCCTTAATTTCCAATTTTAATTCACCGTTGCTATAGTATGTTAGATTAGCCCGTTAAATTCAAAGTGCTTGAGTTTATTATTTTAAAATTTAAAATACGTGTATCCATAGATATCCTTAATTTCAATTGTAACCGAATTGATTTATTTCTTTTAGATTTATGAGTGTGCTAATTCTACTTGGTGCTACTGCTACCTTTTATTTTCTTTTGTAACCATGTTGTATTAAATTCAAGAAGCTTGAGTTTATTATGCAGATACGTATATACAAAATCATACTTTTTTAATCTATATCAAGTTTTTCTTTCCTTTTTTTTTGTTCGTTCATATGTGGTGTTACATTAAATATATTTTTTTTCCAGATGTGTCATACTGTCATTTAGGTGGCATGGTTAGAAACAATTTGATTTTTTTTAAGGTCCCAGTTTGATAGTTTCTGTCCGGAAAAGTGCTGTCTGGAAAAGTGTTTTATGGAAAGTTTTCTGACTGGGAAATAAATCATATTTTTTTATTATACATCTGATTGACTGTGCTGAATGATGAAAAATGACAATATTACCCTGGTGTTTTATATTGTGATGGATGAAGTTGTTAAATAATTATAAAAACATATAAATTCTTATACAAAATTAAAATTACACAATAATCATTTACAAATCCAAATAAAATGTCGATTAAGTTGTTTTTAGTTTATTTTTTTTCAAATTGATCTTATGTTGTTATTCTTTCTATCAATTTTAAATTTTTTTTTTAACTCAACATGTGATTCTTGACCAGGTTTATGTCCGACAGTGGTGGGATGGATGATTTTTTTTAATATATTAGGATGATGGTAGTGTTGTCGAAAAAAATAATTTAATCCAATAAAAATGAATTAAAAAATTAACTAAAAGAAATTAATAATCCAATAAAGTAATATTTATTAGTATATAAATATTATATATTTATAAATAATATTTATGAGTATACAATAATCCAATAAAAAAGAATTATTTCATAAAAAGGAAATTAAAAAAGAAAAGAATTATTTAAAAGAATTTAACAATCCAATAAAATAACATAAGTTAATACATAAATATTATATATTAAAAATAATATATATTAACATATAATAATCCAATAAAAAAAGAAATTGAGAAAATTATTTGAAGTAATTTATAATCCAAGAAAAAGAGGCGGGGTTTGGGGCATAGTTGTCTTTCCAGTCTAATCAACCAGAAAGATATGGTTTTGAAGCTTTCTGGGAAAGACATATCTTACCGTGAAAGACCCATTTATTTGTGCATATTAAACAGTCTTTCCGGTCCATTCAGGCAGAAAGATCTGTTTGGACCTGGAAAGATGACTATGAAACAGGGCCTAAGGCATCTCTACATGTGGCTTTAAGGTCATAGAACAACTTATTGCATGAACCTACAAAAACGAACGTTATATATATCAAACTCGTATGGATGATTGTTGTATACTTATAGTTTATAACATTTAACTAATATGTTTTGCAATTGTTGAATCTCCATCTTCAGATTCTAATAAAAGAATATGTTTATTTTTCTTTTGTCATATGTCACCCTATTAGGTATTTCTAATTAATGTCATGCTACTTGTCAACCTATTGATTCTTCATTTTAAATTTTAAAATTTAAAATTTTCACTCTAATTACATTAAATTAATAACATTAGAATAAAAATTAAAATAAAGCTAATACAGATTATATAGTGATATAATTATATGTATTTATTTAAATCAATGATTATAATTTTATATAACTAAAAAATATCTCTTAATTAATAATTTGTTTAAAATAATTGATTAATAATTTTGATTTTTTTTTTTACAAAAGTTTAATTAATTTTGTAACCGTGGTTTCCACGGTTATAAACTATTTACATAATAAATATAAATATTTGTTAAAAATAAAGAAAGACTTTGTTTTATACTTTAACTAGTTGTGAGACTCATGTATTGCATGAGTTAATTTAAAAAAAAACAAAAACAAATATAAATGTCAAAATATTTAAAAACTTTGAATTTATAGAAAAATAAGAAAAATAATAAATTATTATAATGAAAATGTTTTTTATCTTTTAAATTTAAACAAATCATTTAAATAAATAAAAGAAACTAGTGAGCTTTAATTTTGGGAATTTTGAAATTAAAATATAAGTTTATTAATGAAATGATATCAATTTATTATTACATTTATTTCAATTATTATATGAAAAGATTATATGAAACTTTATAAAATAGAAAAATTTATAAAATGATATTATAAAAGAAATAATTTAAAATAACCATAAAATGGTATTTACCCTGTTTCTGTTAAATGAGAATGTGACAAATGATAAAACAAATATTTATTTATTAGAAAAAATTATATTATATTATTATATGATTTGCTGTAGATATTATGAATTAAATAAACAAAAAATAAGTGGATTATATGTATGGATTGTATTACGGTTACGTGGGAGGGTTTGTACCTCTAAATGAATTTCAACAGTGATTAACATTGTAGTCAGTCAACCATTTTGCTTCTTATTCCGCGAATTCCCATCCTTTGAAATTCAAAACCCTTATCAAAGAAACAATCATTCCTTATTCCGAATTCCAATGGCTGAAATCGCTGTTACTGCCGTCATCACTGTGTTATGTGAGAAGTTGATCTCCGGTGACCTTATGAAGCTAGCTGGATCGGAAGGGATCGATTCTCAGCTGAAAAAATGGAAGAACACCTTGCCTCTGATTCAAGCCGTGCTTGCTGATGCAAGTCAGAAGCACATAACAGACAAAGCTGTTCAATTGTGGGTGAACAATCTCCAGGATTTGGCTTACGACATAGACGATGTACTCGATGATTTGGCCACTGAAGCTATAAGACGCAATTTGAATAAAGAAGCTCTTGCCAGCACCAGTACTGGTAAGCTATTGAAGTTCTTCCCAAATTGTTGTACTAATTTCACTCCTCACAATTTCATGTATGGTCGGAAGATGAGTTCTAAGCTAGACGAAATCACCACCAAATTGTGTGATCTTGTTGACCAAAGGAAGGGTTTGGGTTTGAATGTGAATGTTGAAAGGTCAAATATAACGGAGAGACGGTTGGAGCAAACTTCATTGGTTGTTGAGTCCAAAATCATGGGTAGAGAAGGGGATAAAGTGGCATTGATGGGGAAGTTGTTGAGGAATGAAGAATGTGATCAAAATGTGAGTATAGTATCGATAGTTGGTATGGGTGGAATAGGCAAAACCACTCTTGCTAAACTTTTATACAACGAGCAGGAAGTGAAGGATCACTTTGAACTCAGGGCATGGGTTTGTATTTCTGAAGAGTTTGATGTATTTAATATTAGCAATGCTATTTTTGAAGCTTTAGGTGGGGACAACAAAAGATTTTCTAATCTTGATCCGCTTCATGTGGCCCTCAAAGAAAAACTTTCAAAGAAGAGGTTCATGCTTGTTCTAGACGATGTCTGGAACGAAGACCATAGTAAGTGGGAACTCCTCCAAAGTCCTCTTCTTGTAGGTGCACCTGGAAGTAGAATTATTGTCACAACCCGGAGTACCATGGTTGCATCGTTGATGGACTCAGAAGAATCTTATGGTCTGGACGTTTTATCGAATGAAGATGCATTGTCATTATTTTCTCAGCATGCGGTAGGTGAAAAAAACTTTGAGAAACATCCAACACTTAAGTCGCTTGGTGAAGGTATGGTGCAGAAATGTGGTAGATTGCCTTTGGCTTTGAAAGCACTTGGGAGGGTCTTGAAGGGAAATAGAAATGGTGATGAATGGGAGAAGTTGTTGAAGAGTGAGATATGGGATATAGATGATGGAAGCGAGATTCTTCCGGCTCTAAGACTAAGCTATTATCATCTCCCTCCACATTTGAAGCAGTTGTTTGCATACTGCTCCTTATTTCCCAAGGACACCGAGTTTAAAAAGAATGAGTTGGTCCTGATGTGGATGGCAGAGGGATTTTTGTCCCAATCAAAATCAATGGAGAGGTTAGGTCATCATTATTTTGAAGAGCTACTGTCAAGGTCTTTTTTTCAGCAATCAACGAATGACGAGTTCGAATATACAATGCATGATCTGATGAATGACTTGGCCACAAGTGTTGCAGGAGAGTTTTTTTGTAGATTGGATGGTGAGATGGATGTATCTGACACAAATGAAGTTTTTGAGAAGCTTCGTCACTTAACATTTATAGCTTCATCATCTGGATCATATAGAAAGCTTAAGCAATTACAAACTACTCGCTTGCACACTTTCTTAGGAATTTTGATTTCTGAGTCAGACTATGTTTATGATGAATTAATTCATAAACTACAGTTTGTAAGGGTGCTAGCACTTACTGGAATCACAATCACAGAGGTACCAAACTCCATTGGTAGTCTCAAGCATCTACGGTATGTTAATTTTTCTTTTACTGAAATCACATGTTTACCAGAACAAGTGAGTGACCTTTATAATCTACAGAGTTTAATGCTTGAGGATTGTTCCGAGTTATCTAGGTTGCCAAAAAGTTTTGCAAAGTTAATAAACCTGCGACATCTTGACATAAGTAAGACTCCGAATTTGAAGAAGACGCCCTTAGGGATCGGTGGGTTGACGAGTCTACAAACTCTACCCAAGGTCTTTATTGAAGAAGGTAACGGCTTCAAAATATCCAATCTTAAGGGCCTATCGGATCTTCAAGGCCGACTTTCGATTAAGGGGCTGGACACAGTTAAAAATTCAATAGAAGCAAAGGATGCCCACTTACATCAAAAGAAAGGTCTTGATGTTTTGAAGATGGAATGGAGTGATGTGTTTGATGATTCTCGGAATGAGATGATTGAATATGAAGTACTTAAAGAACTAAGGCCTCATCCTAAGTTAAAAAAGCTCAAGATTTTCAATAACAATGGAATGCGATTTCCTACTTGGGTTGGCGATCCCTCCTTTGATCAGTTAACAGAGCTTAAGTTATGTGGTTGTAGAAGTACATATTTACCAACACTCGGACATCTGTGTTCTCTTAAGAAATTGGTTGTTGAAAGGATGAATGAGGTGAAGACTGTGGGTTTTGAATTACCTGCACCTACAAATTCTTTTCCATCACTTCAAGTTCTGGAATTTGGTCATATGCAAGGTTGGCAGAGGTGGTCAATTAATAGTGGTGACGGACATGAAACTCCTACATCATTTCCTCGTCTTCATAAACTATCTATCAAATGTTGTCCAGAACTTGATGAAGTGTCAATCGGATTGATACCTTCACTGCAGGTCCTACATATAGAAGAATGTTCCAAAGTAGTGTTAAGAAGCTTGGTTGGTTTGTCCTCGTCACTTGTTAGATTGAAAATGGTGAATGTTAAAGGACTTACTCAACTACATGGAGAAGAATTAATGCATCTTAGGGCACTTGAAGAGCTACATATTCCAAGATGTGATGAACTGAGATACTTGTGGGAACGAGAATCAGAGGCATGCAAGAGTCTTGTGAGTTTACAGAAGTTGGAAGTATGGAATTGTAAAAACTTGGTTTCATCAGCCGAGAAAGTGGCTAATGTTGGGATCAGCATGGAATCACTTAAATCTGTGGAATTTCATGACTGTGAGACATTGGAGAGTTACAATTGTCCAAATAGTGTTGAGAGGTTGGTCATCAGTAGTTGTGCCTCAATATCATCCTTGACCTTCTCAGCAGTGCAGGAGCAGCCATCCCCTCTTACTGAATTGATAGTCGGTGATTGTGATAACATAAAATTACAACCCAAACCCATTCCAGCAAAAGACTTCAGTTTGTCTCGCCTAACATCTTTTGATATTATTTCTTGGAAGAATCTAAAGTCAATCCCTTATGAGCATTTTCAAAGTCTCACATCTTTGGAAGATATGATAATACAAGATTGTCCAAGTATGGACTACTCCTTCCCTTGTGGGGTGTGGCCTCCTAATTTACGGATGCTAAGCATAGGTGACTTAAATAAGCCCATGTCAGAGTGGGGCCTGCAGAATTTTCCAACTTCACTACTTGATCTACGTTTATATGGCAAAGACTCGGGAGTGGTTTCATTTGTGGTGGCAGACGATGTGAGGAATACTACTACTACTCCATCATCATCATCATCATCATCTTTTCTTCTTCCACAATCTCTGGTTTCTCTATCGCTCCATGATTTTACGGATGTGGAATCATTTTCAGAGGTCTTACCACACCTCCCCTGCCTTAAAACACTTTATATTTGGAATTGCCCAAAGCTTGGAGATCTTAAGACCATTTACGACCCATCAAATGTGACAATATTGGTGTTGAAGTAGAAAAGGTTCGTAATTTCCTTTCCCATCATCAGTGTCTCTTATATAAGAGTGGTTATTCATTTCAATAATGTTATTATAATCATTGTTTCTTAACAAATGTGAAAGAGAGTTCTACAGCTTGTATCCCAAAGTATTACCGCCCATCTCTTATGATAAACATCACAACTTTTTTTTTTTTTTGATAAATGTGATATTCCTTATAAAGTAAGATTTCAATTTCTGTGTATTTTTTTTTTTATTTTCAATAACTATCCCAAAGTATTAGGAACATTAATCTTGAGGCTTGTTTGTTTTGGTTTGTTGATAATACTATTTTTATACTGAACTAACAATCAAAACTAGTACAAAAATAAGAGGAAACTATAACTGCAGTAGTTGAATAGCTTTTCGGTTTTTGTATAACTTTTACCATTAACTTGTTATGTATATTTGTTGCAACTGTATTATTTTATCTTCATTGCACCACTTCTTTGTGTATTCCTTTTCGTTGTCATGTTGTACTTTTCGTTAATCTTGGCTTCGAGTGAACTTGTGCATTGTTGAATGAATTACTAGAAATCATAACAAAATTGTTTACAATTTGGACTTTTTCCAGAAACTTTGACCTTTTATTCGGTCATCAATTCAGAAATTTTGACCTTTTATGTCAAACCCGTTGGCTTTGAGATGTTGATTTTGGTAATATTTTTGAAAATCGGGGCCATCTTAATCCTTTTGTAGTAACCTTTGTTATATAACTTCAGATTTCTGTACAAATTTGTATCAGTTTCTAGGTTAGAAATAAATCCATTTGACATTATAACTTTTTTGTTTTGGTAAAAAAAATGGTCAAACTCTGTATAGCATGACTAATTGTCTTTTTGTGTGTCTATTCCCAGTATAATTGATTAGTATGTTAAGGACGATGTAAACATCATGACAACTTATTTGTTGTCACTAGTGATTAATTATAGAGATTGTTTATAAAATCATATTAGAATATTCCGTATTATGTGATCTTGGCATGTTTCTATAAATTATGAGTTTATTTTTAGGAAGTTGCTCAATTTCTACAGGTGCACGTTGGATCGAGGCTGTGTACATGACATCAGTGAGGCAAATCAGCTAAATATGCACGGGATGGACGTTGAAAAAAGTGAAAAAAAAGTGAAGGCAGATAAAGAATCAATGAGTTTCAAAAAAGGCATTATTTAAAGGGAAAAAGATATTACTCCAAAATATGATGGGAAAAGGCATTATTTAAAAGGGAAAAAAGATATTGATGGAACTGCCCCTGCACTGTTGGCAGGAACACAGGTTAAAATAGACACATGCATTTGAATGATCATATTGACTATTTCGAAAAACATTGCACCACACCTGATATTACTAATATTTGATTTGAAAGTTTGTAATAAATCTTGTTTTAAGTAGAATGCCATTTCAAGTACAATTCCCATATACATAATGGACAATTATGCCCCTAACCATAAACAGATGCAGTTCCTATTTTGATTTCAAGTACATCTACCTCCACCCCCATTTGGTTAAATGCAAGAGAAAGCAATATACTTTATAGACTATAAAATGTTTACAACGAAATAGATTGGTTCATCCTTCCAAGAAACGATGATGATACATGAAGATGAGAAACACAAACATAAAAAGATATTAGTTTGATCTAATTCATTAAGCAATGGAGATAAACCCAATTCATAAATAAAGAAAAAGGAATTTAAGATAAAAGGGCGAAAATGCCCTTTACCCAGATTTTCCATATTGTACAATTCTTATGGTTGTTATACACAAATTATAAAAATAAAATAAAAATATGATGCTCTATGACCACAACGACTTTTTTGACCAGAATAACTTTTTGAATTAACTTGCAGCGCATATGATATTATCAAGATAGATATGAAAGTTTATAGTTTGATCTCAAGTTATTTTGCCCCTGCCATTATTTTGTTAAATGAAAGAGAAAGCAATACACTTTCTAGAATATAAAATGTTTACAACCAAAAAGATTTACTCCTACACAGTATCTAGAAAACACAGATTTTAGAGAAAACAACATATTTCCAGGTATAAATTTAGCATTGTATAATGCATTGGTGACACAGACTTCAGAGAAAAAAAATACATTTCCAAGTTTATATTTCGTAACAAAAGGAGGAGAGTATTACATGATTATGCAGTAGACACAAATTAATCGATGAATTGAAGTTGGAGAAAGAACAAACAATTAACAAAACATCGGATCATATGTTATAAGGAACGATTTCATTCCAAAACAAATACACTAGGATGTCCAATGATGATTGGAATAATTATTATTTAGGAAATTATTCATCTAATCCTACATTGATTTTAACTAATCATATCAATCATTCTAATTATACAGTGTACATCTTGTAAATAGCGCCCGACATTAAGTGATATAGAGAAGGAATGAATGATTTTGAGTTGTCATTATCATTAGAATTAATTATTATAATTATGTGGCTTAACTAATATAATGATGTGGCAATTTAATGAAAAGGGAAAAAAAATAAGAAATTGACAAGTGGAAAAAAAATAAGTCTAAAATGCCTAGAGATTAACATGCAGATTAACATGTAGCATAGTTAATTATAGTTAATTACAAGTTGCCATTTGGCAAAAATAATTTTGTTTAATTAGGGTAGAAGATTTTAACTTGTTAGTGTTTTATTAGTGTTGTATATGAGTATCACATTTCAAATGATAAATTACATCTCTTTCCCTTGAACTTTCTAGGTTGTTTTATATTTTACCATGGTTTCCTTTATATATTATATAAGATATTTCAAATGATAATTTACATCTTTTTCCCCCTGCATTTTCCAGGTTTTTTCGTATTTTACCATGGTTTCCATTATGTTTTATATAAGAAAATTATTGAAATAAATACATTACACAACATATATTAATATTATCTATTTTAGTTGGGTACAAATTTTTATATTTTAAAGTGTTCTGGTTCAAGATTATCATTGACATTTGTTTTTTAAAATTTTATTTAAACTTTTCGAAATTAGCTTATATACATATTTTTTCATATAATCATAATAAATTTGTAGTATGGTCTGCAAAATAACTTAGGTATGTGGTTCAAATCTTAATAATAAATTATTTATTAAATTTAAATTAAATTTAGTGGTCATACACATTTCTTGTAAATGGAGGGTCTCTATTTTAGTTTTGCATTGAGACCAAAATATGTTTGGGACGGCTCTGTCAATTAATTGTATGATGCAAAAACATATTAAGTTAAATCATAGAGAACTTAAATATCCATCCCCTTTTTGTTACTACCCATCTTTATTTTATATAAACTAATATATATATATATATATATATATATATATATATATATATATATATATATATATATATATGTGTGTGTGTGTGTGTGTGTGTGAAAGACATTAATTATCTCTTAGGCCCGCATCTGACCGAGTCAGGTCAGACATTTTTGGCTGACTCGGTCAGACGAAAGGTGTTTGATAGACAAAATATTGACGTCTGACTCGGAAAGCAAGGTCAGAAAGAAGTTGGGAGATGGCTGACTCAGAAAGAAAGTAAGGCTTTCCAATGGTACCATTGACTTTAATAAAAATTAGCAGCTAATGAAGGTCATAGGAATAGAACTTGGGTCTCCTTTGTAGAAACAATGGTGTTTACCAGCAAACTAAATGGTTGTTTGTGTTTTATCTCTAAAATAATATATTTAATGTTTATTATGCTGCTAGCATTTGTATACATTGTTATTATTATTATTATTATTATTATTATTATTATTATTATTATTATTATCATATTGTATAGAAACGCGTAGAGCATTAGGGTAAAATGGTCATTTTGCACCAGTCAGCACATTTAGTCAGATTTTCAATCAAACAACATGAATTCTTACTCAGTCAGAATTTCTTACTACATTTCTCAGTCAGCACTTTCTCATTCAGAAACTATCAAACAAGGCCTTAGTCTATTCTTTTGATTTTTCTTTATTTTATATATAATAATGACATGTGAAATGCATTAGTTATCTCTTAGTCTATTCTTTTGATTTTTACATTTGTCTGGAGCGAGACAAAAGGTAAGAGCATATTTGGTTTCTCTAGATCATATTATCACCTTAAAAAAAATTAATGAACTAATTTATCAATATTTCAGCAAAATGTATGATAATGTTCTTCATTTAATTTGTTATTTTTAAACTTGTGTAGTATTTTTTTTAAGTATTTAACAATAGCATTAAATAAAATCAATGTATTACAATACATAAAATTAATATTGGGGATTAAAATTAAACAAATTAATCAGTAAAAAAAATAAAGCTTTGAAGGATTTTTTTTTTGAATGATAAATCTAATCTACTCATGATAGAGCAATATTGAATAAAATGAGTTAATGTACAACATACAAATCTAATAAAAAAGTGAATATAATAAAAGTGGTTGCTACAAAACTATAAAATTTGTGAGGTTTATTCGTTACATAATCTCTCAAAAAGCTTTCATGTAACATCCGGTTTTGAGGTACGTTTTATTTAATTTAAGATTTGAAGTTTGGTGAGTCGCCACGACATGGGAAGGATGACCACGACGTGGCGATGCATTTTCCAGTCGCGGGTCTTTTTGACTCGCCACGACGTGGCTGCCGCTGATGCCTTAAACCCTAATTTTTTGGGTTTTACACCTATTTAAAGGAATAAGGAGGCTAGGGTATGCTCACCCTGAGCCTCCACCACTCTCTTTTATCTAAAAGAAAACCCTAACTCTTTTCCTCCATTATTGAAGCTTGCTTGGGTGTTTTGAGAGGTCTTGAAGGAAGAAGCAAGAAGAAGTAAGCCAAGTATCAGCAAGAGATCCTCTATCTCCCTACCTAGCTCAGATTTGGACCCTTCTAAGTGTTTAAGGTTCCACCTTTTTGATTATAGAGTGCTAGATCTTGCATTTTGTCCCACTTTCTTGTTGATCTTATTGAATAAGACGGTGAGACTTCATAAAGGTTGCAACTTTATGATTCTCTGGATCATTAGGAGTAGTTTATGGTTTGGATCTAAAGTTTGGTGGTTTGTATGAGCCATGCATGAGATCTTGGTTATAAAACCCCATTTTTTTTTACCTAAGTTGAGTCCAACACTTGCATTGGACATGCAAGTCTAAAAAGCATCAAACTTTAGGATTATTTTAGTGTTATAAGTTCTTCTGGAGCAGATAGGCTTGAGACTTAAGGGATTAAATGCTTGTTGGTTAAGTCATTGCTATTTTTAGCCTTCTTGGATCTAAGACTTAAGATCTAGACCTCTTGGTGGGTCACAAAGGGATAAAGATGGAAACTTTATCCACTTGGGTATTAGAAATTATCAATTTGGACTTTTGAACCTCTGGTATTAGAGGATTCGATTTAACTCGTTAAGACGTTTTGGATCCAGTTCCCACTGTGTGGCCTAGCCTGCTATGACATGGCGACTGGGGAAAACACGACTGTCTTGTCATTTGAAGGTCAGGATGTTGCCAAGGATAGCCACGGCGTGGAGGTTCAACTTTGATTTTTTACTTGCATTGACTTTTGGCCAAACCCCTAGTCTTGAAAGAGAAGCTAATGGTGTATTTTATATGGCTATATAGGTGGTTGGTAGCATCTGTGTTCGCAAAAATAGTAGCAGTTGTAAACCTCATCCAGTAACCCTAATTGACGATTGCTGGCGATTCTAATGCGAGTTTCAGAGGGTTTCAAGTGAAGAATACAGATCTAAAGGAGACTAATCAATTTCTTTACATAATGTAGTAAGATTTATCATTTAGACTCTATTTTCTACTGTTTGTAATCCGTTTTTAGTCATGTTAGGCTAAAAACTTAGATTTCAGTTTCGCAAGACATAACCTTTTCATATGATTAATCATTAGGCACTATGTTTGACTGTGATTACTGTTTAGTTTGATCAATTATGTGTTTGATTGAGTGTTTGATTTTGATTTCAATTTCTGTTAGCCAACAAATGTGACAATATCTGTGTTGAAGTAGAAAAGGTTCGTCATCTCCTTTCCCATCATCTGTGTCTCTTACATAAGAGTGGTTATTCATTTCAATAATGTTATTATTATAATCATTGTTTCTTAACAAACGTGAAAGAGGGTTCTACAGCTTGTATCCCAAAGTATTATGGCTCATCTCTTATGATAAACATAACAACTTCTTTTTTTTTTTTTTTTTGATAAATGTGATATTCCTTATAAAGTAAGATTTCAATTTCTGTGTACTTTTTTTATTTTTCTTTTCAATAACTATCCCAAAGTATTAGGAACATTAATTTTAAGGCTTGTTTGTTTTGGTTTGTTGATAATACTATTTTTATATTGAACTAGCAATCAAAACTAGTACAAAAATAAGAGAAAACTATAACTGCAGTA